TGACAAGCAGAGGGCTGTTTGGATGCGGTATAGGGGATAAACAGGAAGACAGATACTGAAGACAGTGAAATCAAACACCACCTTTATGCCTTAAATTCTAAATGGCATCAGCAGTTCTTTTTTATTAATATCATTGTTTTATAGTATTTCCCACTTTTTTAATCTTTATTTTTAAAAAAGATTTTATTTATTTTAGAGAGACAGAGCTTGCAAGCAGGAGTGGGGGGGGGGACAAGGGGATATGGAGAAGGAAAGAGATCATCTCAAGCAGACTGTGTGCTGAGCATGGAACCAGATACAGGGCTTGATCTCACAACCCTGACCTGTGACTTGAGCTAAAATCAAGAGTCCCGGGATCCCTGGGTGGTGCAGCGGTTTAGTGCCTGCCTTTGGCCCAGGGCGCGATCCTGGAGACCCAGGATCGAATCCCACGTCAGGCTCCTGGTGCATGGAGCCTGCTTCTCCCTCTGCCTATGTCTCTGCCTCTCTCTTTCTGTGTGACTATCATAAATAAATAAATTTTAAAAAAATTAAAATCAAGAGTGCCACACTCAAGGTTTCCCCTCACCTCTTTTAACCTTTTAATCTTCCTGTATACTCTATTCAGCAGACAGCTGAATTTTCTTTAAATTCATCGATAATTGTTTTTCAAACTGAAAGTTAATCTATTTGGCACTTTTTTATCATAGCAATACTGGATTGACTTTATCTCTTTAAGTTTTGCTAATTTAATTTTTTTGTTCCTATTCTTTAAAATTGGAAGTTATAGCACAAAAATAAAGATTGATATATGCCTTTAAAAATGGAGATTATTGGGATCCCTGGGTGGCGCAGCGGTTTGGCGCCTGCCTTTGGCCCAGGGCGCGATCCTGGAGACCCGGGATCGAGTCCCACGTCGGGCTCCCGGTGCGTGGAGCCTGCTTCTCCCTCTGCCTGTGTCTCTGCCTCTCTCTCTCTCTCTCTCTCTCTCTCTCTCTCTCTCTCTCTGTGTGTGTGTGTGACTATCATAAATAAATAAAAATTTAAAAAAATGGAGATTATTTATAAACTGAGAACAAGAAATTAAGCACGAGGGATGCCGGGTGGCTCAGTGGTTGAGTGTCTGCCTTGACCCAGGGCGTGATCCTGGGGTTCCGGGATCTAGTCCCACATCCGGCTCCCTGCATGGAGCCTGCTTTTCCCTCTGATTATGTCTCTGCCTCTCTCTGTGTGTCTGTCATAAATAAATAAATAAAATCTTAAAAAAAAAGAAATTAAGTACGAAAGAAATTCAAGTTTTCCAAGTAAACTGTATTAAATATCTGAGATTTGTGCAAATATCTGAAATTTAATTTAAAAAGCTTACTTTACCTAGGAAGACAAAATTTTAAAGAAACATAGAGTTGATACCTATGTACCCACCGACTAGATCAACACATAAATTCCAGATGCAGGCAAGCCTATGTGCAGACCTTTCAAATGGGTTTCTCCCCTTTTCTTAGGAGTAAACCACTATATTAAATTTTTTGAGCTAACAATTCCCACTGCTCTTCACGGTGTCTATGTGCTATGCATATACCATGAATTTTATGTTTCATATGATACTAGATTTAATGAACTCCTTTGTGTCTTGCTTATTTTATACAACTTCTATTTTTAAGATCAACCCATTTTGTCACTGCTGGATATTTTTCCTTTATATGAATATAACACATCTTATTATACAGTCTATTATAAATGGGCATTTAAAATTTTTCATTTGTTTTTTTCTATTATGACAACGTAACTATAAATGGTCTTTTGGTAAACATTTACAAGAATATCTCTTGAAGTGAAACTGTTGGTTTATAACATTATATGTCACTGTGGTTAAAACTGGCAAATCTCAACAAAGATGAGAGCATCTTTTCATATTTACTGGCCATTCACTTTTTCTCTGTATGAATTTCCACTGTTTCATTTATTATTTTTTCTACCAACAGTAACAGTTTTTCATGTTGATTTTCACAGTTTTAGATTTTTATGATACTAATTTTTTGTTACTTTTATACACTGCAAAATTCACCTCCTAATTTAGGACTTTCATTCTCTCCATGATGTACTTAGCAGCATAAATTATCAATTTTAATGTACTTAAACAAGACAAAAAATCTTATAATTGGGCTGAACACACTTAGTGGAATACCATAAAACTTAAATTTTTTGAAGTATAAAGTTGTTTAAAAGTTTAAGGAGGGGCAGCCCCGGTGGCTCAGCGGTTTAGCGCCACCTGCAGCCCAGGGTGTGATCCTGGAGACCCTGGATGGAGTCCCACGTCAGGCTCCCTGCATGAAGCCTGCTTCTCCCTCTGCCTGTGTCTCTGCCTCTCTCTCTCCTCTCTGTGTATTCTCATGAATAAATAAATAAAATCTTTAAAAAAAATAAATAAAAGTTTAAAAGAGACTTAGGACCACTTGGGTGGCTCAGTCAGTTAGGCATCTGCCTTCAGCTCAGGTCATGATCTTAGAGTCCTAGGATCAGGCCCTGTCTCTGGTCCCTGCTTATTCCTCTCCCCCTGCCCCTCCCCAGCTTGTGTTTTCTCTCTCTCTTTCTGTCAAATAAATAAATAAGATCTTTTAAAACATAAAAGTTTAAAGATATTTAAAAGAAGTAAACTTTCAGTATTCATAGTAATAATATAATTTAATATTATTTTAAAACTATTTTATCAAAGGATAAACAAGTAAATAATTCTGCTACTGTGGTTAGGAACAAAGTTTTTTTTCATGTAAGTAAAAAGCAGTACAAATACAAAATCACACAAATTAAAATTATAACCTTTAATCCTAAAGTTGAACAGAAAATATCAACATGAATTTATAATGTATTTTTCTTTAAAAAACAATTCTAAGCTCTTTCAATTGAAAAAGCCTAGAAACAATAACTAACTCAGTAGCAACTCAAGTACTTACAAAACTTATCATGCCTGCTGGCAAACAAGAAAGTTAACGTCTCAACTCCACTATCACAGAAGAAAGCAGTGATACATAGACCTGAAGCTAAAAGCCAATAAACTGATGAGTGGCAAAAGCATCAATATGAGGGGATCCCTGGGTGGCTCAGCAGTTTAGCGCCTGCCTTCGGCCCAGGGCGTGATCCTGGAGTCCTGGGATCGAGTCCCACATCAGGCTCTCTGAATGGAGCCTGCTTCTCCCTCTGCCTGTGTCTCTGTCTCTCTGTGCCTCTCATGAATAAATAAAATCTTAAAAAAAAAAAGCATCAATAAGATAACTACAATATGGGTACCTGAGTTGCTCTATTGGTTAAGCTGCGATCTCACAGGGGCCTGGGACCCAGCCCTATATCAGGCTTTCTGCTCAGCAGGGGGTCTGCTTCTCTCTCTCCTCTTGCTTCTCCACCTCGTGTTCCTTCCCTCTATCTAATAAATAAAATCTTTAAAAAACTCCAATACAGTGAAACACATCTAATGCATTTATGAAACCATAATGATAATTTAAAAATGAACAAAAAAATTAAACCTCATTGGTGATCAATGAAATATGTTAGGGAACCAACTCATCACTTTGAAAACTAGTGAGGAGAGAAAAAAAAAGCTGAGCATTTATGAGCATTTATTCTCTTTCCTGTAAGACCTCTATCTCAGGATAAACAAATAATCAATTAGGGGGATTTCTTTTTATGGAAGTATTCTATCTACTAAATTTAAGAAGCAATGACAAAAATAGAATCATCACCATTTTGCAGTCCCTTGTGACATAAAAGCTCCAAGCAATGATTATCAATGGCTATTAAGGCCACAAAGAGACAATTGAGCATTATGTGCCTCCTGGTAGAAATATTCAGTAATTATATATGACATATTCTTGTAAAAGTTTAAGCCTCAATCTGATCAAGTCTCTGTATCAAAGTAACAGTTATTGACAATTCAGGACCTGAAAAATGGTTGAATGAGACAATGGAGATGTAATCATCAAAATTCAGAATATGAGACATTATAGAAGACAACAACCCAGTTCCTCCAACAATAAATTGCAAGGAAAAAAATTACTTTGAACTTACAAACAAGACCTATCAACCTTAGAATGTTCAAACATACATGGATCCCATTTTTTTTAAGTGATAAATGAGGAAATGTGAGCACTAATTAGATATTTGATATTAAGGAATCAATATTAATTCTAGATGTGATAATGACATGTTATTTATATGTTTAAAAGAACTCTTTTGAAGGACACATACATGAATATATAGGAATGAAAAAATGTGAATAATAATTATTAGATGTTTGCGTCAAAATAATCCAGTGGGAGTAAAGACAATGAGTGGAACTGAGATGAAACGAAATTGGCTATGAAATTAAGTAGCAAATGGGCACATGGAGGTTTTATTACATTACGCAATTTGTTTTATTTTGGCATATGTTTGAAGCTGTCCAAATTAAAAGTTTTTTTTTTAAACTGCCTTCATGAAACACTATAACAAAATCACTTACACTTGCCTGAAAATGTCAGATTCCATTTATGTATCTCCCAAATGTATTCATATGTTCACACTAAGCTAAGGCCGTAGGACAAAAGAATGATGTTAGTGGTATATTTTAAGGAATCGGCAAGTCAGTGAAAAACTTTATTTCAAAAAGAGAAACATTGCCAGCAATCTTAAAATTAAATGAAACACATAAAGAACCAACCAATTCTGCCTGCTTTTCAGTAAGCATCTGGATTTGAGCATGATCTGGGGTTATAACAGATGACTTCTAGATCACCTGCCTATTCATCAAAAAAAAAGTAAGATTATGCTATAAAGCTGACTTCTCAAATTTACAATCTGTAGTTTCAAGTCTCTCAAATGTTTTGAGGTTCACCAAAGGATAAACAAAAGTCAACTTTTAAAATTCTAGTCTTTTACCAGATACCTAATGCTTTTTTTCCACAGATAAAAAAGCAGCAAACTTTTAAAACAATTTAGGACTGCTTTAATATTATTCAAAAACTATTACACACAAAAGCAGATTTACATACCTTGCCTGGACTGTGAAGGTGCTACAGGAACTTCTTGGTTTGGCTCAAAAGGAAGTTCAGGTGTTAGGTTTTCAAACTGTTCTTTACTAATGAGATTTAGCTTCTTAAAGTTCTCAACTTCTTGCTGAAGTAGAATGGAGGAATCTAATTACTAAACTGGCTAGTAGAGTAACCAACAAACAATAACTGATACCAACCTCAAAAAAGGAGTTTAACTATAACAGAATAAAAAAGTCCTAATAAAGAATCTAGTATTATACTTAACAATTAATGTTGAGAATTTACAAGAGGCACAGAGAACCCAAAAGTATTAGGAATAGTATACAATCCAAATACATTATAAGAGCATACATTCTAATCATTCATTATTTGTTAGGCATTTACACACAAGTCCACTAGCATATTATAGAAGTCACAAAGTAACCTAAGGTATGTTTCCTACCCTTAAGGAATTTGCAAGTTAGATTGAAAAATAAAATGTACACATAAAAATTAATACAAGGCAGCATTTGAAAATGGTAATATTTGGTATAAGAATTGAGATCATCAGGGAGGCATCACAGAAGACATGGAACAAGAACAAGAAATTTAGAGACAAGCATTCTAAATTAGGAAATGTGAGCAAAGATGAGAAGCTTGGAATAAGCAACCATTTCTTAGAAAATAATTCAGTTAATGAGAAAAATCTCTGTAGAATCAGTGGCAGAAAGGCCTGATACAGAAATGAGAGAAACCTGTTAGAAGACCTTTACACCAGGCTAAGTTTTCACTTCATATTCTAGTAATGGGAAATACGTGATGAAAGATAAATCTAGATGGCCCTGGAGGTTCATTTCCAAACCCTATTTATAAGTTTAGCAGCAAGGAGGCTCAGTAAGTCTGAATTTTTTTGAGCTCAAAGGAAAACTAGGCCATACCTGCCCCTTGGGTTGCTGAGGCTTCCCCTTTCTAACAACTGTTACACAGTCATTTAGATGTTCTCTGCCCTGACCTACATATATAGAGAGGACTACAGAAAGGAGGTCAATCTCTAGTGTAAGGCCACTTGGTCATGTGCATGAAGACCATTCATGCCTGCCCTGAGCTGTGAAATAAAAAACATCCGAGAGACTCCCTGCACTCTACTACTTTTTATAAGTTTCCTCCAATAAACCCTATATCACATCTACATCACTCAGTGTTAATGGGTCCATGATCCTTTACAAAATGAGATTCAAAGAGGGTTTTAGCAGGGAAAAAACATAGCAGAACTGTCAGATGGACCAAACTATATATCATCATTACAAAACAATCACAGTACCTTGCTCTTAAAAGCTAACCAAATAATCTTTCCCTTCTGCCTTCAAACATGAATAGTTGTTATCTTACACCATTCATTAGATCCTGCTAGCCTTTTAAACTAGGATCTATCATGTTTTCATGAAAATGCATTAAATGATTACTTCAGGTTCTGTACCTGTGCCAATACTGCTTTCCCCAAAGTCTTCAATAAGCTCTTTAAGCTAATCCAGAGTCATCACTCCTCACTGTCTCTTATATTGCTATAGTGATTACTAGCAATTCCTACTAAAAAAAAAAATTACTTATGACTATCATATGCCAGATATAAATAATATAGTTCTAACCTGATGGGGACACTAAAATAAAATGCTTCCATTTTATTTTAAACTTTTTAAACTAATTCAATAAGGTACCATATATACATATACACACTAGAGGAGTGCATAAATCATTAAGTACACATCTCAATGAGTAATCAAAAGTGAACTGACCTGCATAACTACTATTCAGGTAAATCTTTATTTTCAGCACCCTAGAAGTAACTTTCATGCCTCTGCCTCTCCCTAAAGACAATCAATTAGCTGACTTCAATTGTATAGGTTTATTTTGATAGGTTTTGAACTTTATAAAAATGTAATCATAATATATGGTTTCTTTTATACAAAATTATGAGATTCATCTATAAGAGGTCAGCAGACTATAGCCCCTAAAGGCCAAATTGGTTTTTGTAAAAAGTTTCATTGGAAGATGACCACACTTGTTCGCTCACCTGCATGTCTGCTTCATTGCTACAACTGAAGTGTAGCTGGGACAATGTATGACTCATAAAGGCTAAACTATTTACTATGTAGTGCTTCAGAAAAACAATTTCCTAATCCCTGCTCTATGGTATTCTATTGAATGATGACATCATAGTTTTTAAAACTTCATTACACTGTTGGTAAGCATTTAGTTCCTTTCCAAATCACAGGAATTACAAATAATGTTGCTATAAATATATTTTTACAAAACACTTCTCTTGCTGACAAAGATACACATTTTTTAAAAGACTTTTAAATTTTATTTTAGAGTTGGGGGGGCCAGTGGGAGAGGAAGAATCTCAAGCAGACTCTGGTGCCCAATGTGGGGCTCCATCTTACAACCCAGGGATCATGACCTAGCCAGAACCAGGAGTCAGATGCTCAACTGACTGAGGTTCCCAGGCACCCCAAAGACACACATTTCATTGAATGTTTACTAGAACTGGAATTGTTGAATAGAGTGGTATGCTTCTACTTTGGTAGAAAATGCCAAATAGTTTTTCACAGTGATTGTACCCATTTATGTTCCCACTAGCAGTACATTAAAGTTCCTATTGCTCTACATCCTTACAAATACTTGGTATTGTCAGTTGAAAACTATGTAGCCATTCTAAAAAGGACCAAACTATGGATAGACAAACTTGGATGGACCTCAAAGGCATTATGATTAAAAAATACCAATCTCAAAAGATCACTTGAGGTACGATTCTATTTATAGAACATTACCAAAATGACAAAACTGTAGAGATGGAGAACAGGCTACTGGTTACCAGGGGTTATGAACAATAGAGGGGAGGCATGTGAATATGAGTCTAACAGCACAAGGGAGATCTGTATGGTGATAAAATAGTTCAGTTCTTGACCGTGATGGTAGTTACATAAATCTACATATGTGATAAAATGGCATACAACTATACACACACATTTGTGATAAGAAACATCAATTTCTTGACTTTAATATTGCACTTTAATTATGTAAGATATAAACTTTGGAGAGAACTGGGTGAAGGGTACACTGGATCTCTCTGTACTACTTTCCCAACACCCTGGAACTCTAATCTCAAAATAAAAATTCAAAACATTAAATATATAGCCACTCTGATAGATTTATCTGTAATCACATTATGGTTTTATTTTGCATCTCTTTGATTACTAATAGTGCTAAAAACCTTCAATATATTTTAGTTGCACAGCCTCTTTTGCGAAGTGACTATTCAGTTCTATCACGCATATATTAAGATTTTATTTCAGAGAGAGAGAGATGGTGAGAGAGACAACACCCCCCAATGGTGGGGGGAGGGGTGAGCAGGGAGAGGGAGAAGCAGGCTCCTCATGGAGCAGGGAGCCTGACATGGGGCTCAGTCCCAGGACCTTGGAATCACGACCTGAGCTGAGGCACATGCTTAATCAACTGAGCAACTCAGGTGCCCTCAATTCTATTACTCATTTTTCTATAAATTTCTCTTACTGATTTATGAATGCTTTTTTAAAAGATTTTATTTATTCATTCATTGGCGATGGGGGGGGGAGAGAGAGAGAGAGAGAGAGAGGCAGAGACACAGGCAGAGAGAGAAGCAGGCTCCATGCAGGTAACCCAACGTGGGACTCGATCCCTAGTCTCCAGGATCACGCCCTGGGCTGCAGGCGGCGCTAAACCGCTGAGCCACTGGGGTTGCCCTTATGAGTGCTCTTTATAAAATGTAACTTTTCTTCCACGTTCTGGAAGAAGGAACTTGCATTTTCACTCTCTTATGGTGTCTTCTGGTGAAAAAAGTTCTTTTTAATGTAGTACATTTTATAAGTCATTTCCTTCATTGTGTAACTTCCTGTTTAAGAAATCTTTCGCCTTTTGGAACACTCTTTGACTATTGCTCGGAATGCAAACTAGTGCAGCCACTTTGGAAAACAGTATGGAGGTTCCTCAAAAAGTTAAAAATAGAACTATCTTATGATCCAGGAACTGCATTAGGTATTTACCCAAAGTATACAAAAATATAGATCTGAAGGGGTACGAGCACCCTGATGTTTATAGCAAAATTATCATAAAAGCCAAACTATGGAAAAAACACAAACATCCATTGAGTGATGAATGGATAAAGAAGAGGTGGTATGCCTGTGTGTGTGTATGTTTATATATATAAAGAGGTAGTATGTATATATATAAATATACGATGGACTATTCACTCAGCCATAAAAAAGAATGAAATTGGGATGCCTCTGTGGCTCAGCAGTTTGGTGCCTGCCTTTGGCCCAGGATGTGATCCAGGAGTCCCGGATCGAGTCTGACATCCGGCTCCCTGCGTGAAGCCTGCTTCTCCCTCTGCCTGTGTCTCCGCCTCTCTGTGTCTCTCATGAATAAAATCTTTTTTAAAAAAGAATGAAATCTTGTCCCTTGCAACAACATGGATGGAGCTAGAGTGTATAATGCTAAGCAAAATAAGTTAGAGAAAGACAAGTATCATGATTTCACACATGTGGAATTTAAGAAATAAAAGAGATGAACTTATGGGGAGGGGAAAAAGTAAAAAAAAAAAAAAAGAGAGAGAGAGAGAGAAGGGGAAACAACCTAATGATAGAGAACAAACTGAGGGGTTGATGGAGGGAGGTGATTGGGGAATGGGCTGAATGGGTAATGGGTATTAAGGAGGGCACTTGTGATGAGCACTGGGTATCATATGTAAGGGGTGAATCACTGAATTCTACTCCTAAAACCAATAGTGCACTGCATGTTAACTAAAATTTAAATAAAAATTTAAAAAATTTTAAAAAGGAAATCTTTCCCCTTTCTAAAGATGCTATATACCCCCTTGTTATAATTTTTCACCTGATTATGATATTAACATATTCTGTTAAAAAGTTTGGGGAGCACAAGGTAATAAAAGCAAAAAGCAACATACACACACCTATCATATAGGTAGTATCATCACCTAGAAATTTTATTATTTTACCTTTCGCATTGAGAATCAGAATTCATACAGAATTGATTCTTTGTGTATAGCAGGAGCTAAGGGCCAATGTGCACTTGAAAAAAAAAATGTGTATT